TAGGTCAGGGAGAGTAGCTGACTCATACATATCGCACAAGTCTCCTCTCTCTCTGTTGGCTGGTTCTAGGAGGTGAGATATGGGGATTAGTGGTAACCCTTATGCCACATTTCTCATTTGGGGCTCATCCTTGGATGTGGGTGGAAGGGAACAGAGCTTACTTACAGGCATCCCACAGATCTCTTCCCTTTATGATAGCTAGCCTGGGTGGCCCATGAAGGACTCCCCTCTCTGCTGACTAGTCTCAGAGAGACTGGAAGTGGACCAGTTGGCAGAAGCAGAGCTGACTCACAGGAGGCTTACAAAGTGCTCCCTTATGTGCTGGCTGATTTTCTACCAACTGGTTCCTGGAAGCAGGGAGGCAGATGGAGGCAGCCTAATGGACATTCCACAGGACTTGTGTCTCTTTGCTTCTTGGTCTTGAAGTTTATATATAGATTTTTCATGCACATAGTTAAGAATTCTTAGATCCCCATTCTTCTCAATGTTATTCATAGTTTGTTATTATTCCTACAGTCAAATGCATTTTACTGACAATAAAACAATAGTAAACATCTTTATAGATTCCTTTGCTTTCATTTAGAATCCCTCTGATATGAGCAGTGATATCCCTCATTCCACACTTTTTTCTGAATCCAGATTGAATTTCTGGAAGTTCCCTATTGATGTGTTGTACTAGAAATATTTTTTAAACTGTAGTAAGATTTTACCTACATGTGATATTGATGTTTTGCAACAATTTTCACATTCTGTTGGATCACCATTTTTGACAATGAGAACAAGCATGGATCTCTTCTAGTCACTTGATCAAGTTAACGATCTTCCAACTTTATTGTCATAGACTAATGAGCACATCCAGGGCTGTATGTGTATATTAAAACATGTTAATTTGAGTTCCATCAATTCCTGGGCCTTATTTTTTGGAATGATTTCAGTGGAGCTTGAACTTCTTCCCTCATTACCTTTGTTTCTTAATTCTATGACATTTCCTTAAATATTTTGGAGTTGGTCTATTTTTTGGTACAGTAACTCTGTATATTCCAATGTACTACCTTAAGTCTATCCTACATGCATTTAAAAACCATCTCAAAGTTCAAATCAAAACCACAATGAGATACCATCTCACCCCAGTAACAGTGACAAAGTTTAACAGGAAAGCAAGTAATGTTGGAGAGGATGTGTCAAGAAAGAAAATCTTATACACTGTTGGTGGGATTGTAAAATTCTACAATCACTCTGGAAGGCAGTTTGGCATTTTCTCAAATAGCTGAACATAGACATATGACACAACTATTCCACTGCTTGGAATATACCCCAAGAAAACTAGAACTGAGGCACAAATGGAGATTTGTACACCAATGTTCATAGTAGTGTTATTCAGCATCACAAGAATGTGGAAACAACCCAAATGTCCAAACACAACCACATGGATTGAGAAATTATAGTACATTTCTATAATGGCATATTATGCAGCATGCTGGAACAATGATTTTGAAAATTACTACCTAGTGTGTGTGGGACTAGTGATCACCAGATAAAAACAGCTGTTTGATTCTCTGAGTCTAGATCTTTGCACATTTCATTTATAATACTTTGAATTGTCTTCCAGAGGTCTGAAATCTTCTGTTCAGCCCATTAATGTACTCATTTCTTCCCTTTATTTTGGTTTCTTGGTACTCCACCGCAATATTCAGAGTCTCTTCTGACATTCCATTTCAGCCTTTTCTTCCTCCTCTGTCTTTGCAATGACTTTTTTTATTCAACATGGATGATATTGTTGATATCCTCACATAGCTCATGGTCTAAAATCTGGAAATGTGTGTGTCAGGGGATATGGTTGGAGGAGGTAGTAACTATAGACTTGTGCTACTAACCCAAAAGCTAAATCTCTTTGCTAGTTCTAGTACACCTTTGGCTCCATAGTAAAAGGATGAGCATTTTCTCCCATGAGATGTATAACTTCAAAAACATAAGGGAGCTATGAGTTCAGACTCAAAAGCTGAGTTTGTACCTCTTCAGTATGCATGGGAAACAAATAAGCTGAGAAACTGGACTGAAGAAGAATATAGCATCAGGATTACAGAAAGTTTCCTCAACAACCTGTGCTGTACAAATGATACAAACTTGCAGAAAGTTAAGAATACTTGGAACATTTACTTAAAAAGATCAGAAGATTACAGCCTTAATTGTGACTTACACCTTAACATCATGAAAACAAAGACCCACACAACTGGATCAATAAACAATATCATGAATAGAGAAAAGATGGAAATTGTCAAGAATTTCCTTTTAATTGGATCTACAATTAGCATCCACAGTACTTGCAATCGAGAAGTCAAAAGACTTCTCACATTAGGCAAATCTGCTGTAAGAGCTTTTTAAAAGTACTGAAAAGCAAGAATGTTATTTGAAGACTAAAATGCACCTGATCCAAGCCATAGTTGTTGGTTTTTTTATTGTTTCATAGTCATGTGAAAGTTAGATAGTGAATAAGGAAGAACAAAGAATAACTAATGTCTCTAAATTGTGGTATTAAATATATCCCTGGGTTGGTGAAGAAACAAGCAACGCTCTCTTGGAGGTAGTATAACCAGCATGCTCCTTGAACACAAGAATAGAGACCCTTCATATCACATACTTTGGAGGTATTGTCAGAGAGGACCAGCCCTTGAAAAAAACAGATTATGTTGGGAAAAGTAGCAGGTCAATGAAGTAGAGGAAATCTCTCAACAAGTTGTGTTGTGACAGGGGCCTTAATAGGCCTGTAGTATAACCAGCGTACTCCTTGAACACAAGAAGAGGGACCCTTCATATCACATACTTTGGAGGTATTGTCAGAGAGGACCAGTCCTTGAAAACAACATATTATGTTGGGAAAAGTAGCAGGTCAATGAAGTAGAGGAAAACTCTCAACAAGTTGTGTTGTGGCAGTGGCCTTAATAGGCCTGTGAATGGTTGGAGATTGTAAGAGTTAGCCAAGATTAAGCAAAGTTTTGATCTGTTGTTCACAAATTACTGATGTTAGGTTTCATTAAATTTACTACAATTTATCATGACACCATGAATCTTGCCTCATCCTGTGTCATTCTTATAATCTTCAATCACTCAAGCCCATTGTCATAGTCAGTCTGTGTCAATCTTATTGTCCATCTTCCTCTCTTTTGCTGACTTTCCACATTTTTTAGTCTAATGTCTTTTTCCAAGAACTATCCTCTCCTGACAGCATATTCAAAACAAGTAAAATGGAGTTTTACCATCCTTGTTCATAAGGAGCACCCTGGTTGTACTTCTTCTAAGACAGATTTGTCAGTTATTTGGTAGTCCAGAGTTTATTCAGTGTGCTTCATCAGCACCACAATTCAAAGGCATTGATTTTTTCTGTTTTCCCTATTCATTGTCTAACTTTCAGGTGCCTAGGAAGCAGTAAAAAATACTGTGACTTGGATTATGAATGCCTTATTCTTTAAATAGGGGATCTCTAATACCTCTAGTAGCTTGTGGGAGAAGGATGAACACTCTCCTCTACTTCAGTTAACTGCCTCTAGAGGGTCAGCTGTGGGTCAGTTCCAACTTGATGGCATACAACAATAGCAAAACAGTAGCTTAGGGTAAAAAATTGTGCTGCCAATTCAAAGGCTTGTAGTTTGAGGTCACCAGCTGCTCCATGGGTGGAGGGGGGAAGATGAACAGTTTCTTCCTGTGCAATTTATAGCCTACGAAAATCTGCTGGAGGGTCAACTATGGGTAGGCTCCAACTCAATGGTACCTAACAACAGCAACCATCTTTAAATTTACCATTTAGTTGAGGATCTTTAGCACTTTAAAGAGGTCCTTGACAGAAGAACCATTGTGAGCCTGTAAGACAGAGTAGAATTGCCTCATTAGATTTTCTAACCTGTAATCTTTATGAGAACAGATTTTCATATCTTTTCTCCTACCAAAGCAGCTGGTTGGAAAACCATTTACCTGTCCTTTAGCAGCTCGGTACTTAATCACAGGAGCTACTTTTGGGTTTTGGACTTCTGAGTTAAGAAATGTACTATATGGTCAGTTTCAGGGAGTGCTAAACTTTTGCATTGCCATCTTTAATATTTGTTAAAGAAACAATTTTACTAAAATATTTTTAAAATAAATATTAAGTGGTTACTACATATCTATATTGATCTTTCAAAACTATATACACTATAGAATATACTCATATTTTATGAGACAAATTACAGTATTGATCTCAAACAAGTAGTCACTACTACATTAAAAAGTAATTACAGAAAATTTATGAAATATGCAACACAGTGAGAGTTTTGTCAGTTGCACAGAATAATATGCAGCATTCTTGGCTACACCAGTCAGATGGATGTTATCAGAAAGCATTAACAATGCCTACATGTACTTTTATTTGGGATTATGTATTTTTGTTACTTTATTTTCCTTGATTTTTGTCAACTTGAAATAAAGGAATATATTGTTAACCAAGAGGTCAGTAATTCACATCTGTTACTTGCTCCATGTAAAAAAGTTTTAACAGTCGGCTCCTACAAAGATGTATTTTCTCTGAAAGTCTGTGGGCAGTTCTACTCTTTCCTCTGTGACTGCTGAGTCAGAATTGGTTTTAAGATAGTATGTTTGGGTGTTTGCTTGTTTTTATTACTATAGAAATATACCACTCCACTTGCTTTGGCAGCACATATACTAAAATGGAAATGACACAGAAAGATTAGCATGGCCCCTGAGCAAGGATGACACCCAAATTCATGAAGCATTCCATATATTTTTTAATCATAGAGTCACACAGTTTGATGGGTGGAGGGGTGAGTAAAGGAAATAGAAAAGATCTAGTGTGAAAAACAATGTAGACAAACTTCTTAAGTAAACTAGTGTAAAATAAAATTTTTTTTTAAAAAAAGATACCACTGACACCCTCTTTACGGAGTTCTGAGGTTGGAAATATTTTCTTCCAGCCCTGGGTGATTATTTTCACATCTCTGGCTTTTCTTTTCTAGGCAGTCGCTATTCTGAGATCAAATACAGTCCCAGACCTGTGAAATGGCCATTGTTCTTGCTCATTCCCTTCTTCATTATTCTTGGTTTACTGATTGTTATACTGGTAAAATTAAATGGTCAAAGAAAAAACTGGACAGCAGATGACTATGCAAATGATGAGTATGTTGATTTTCTATTTCTTATTACTCATGCATTAATGACATATATTATTCTTACAGTAATGTATTACAGCAATTGATCTATAGTAACTGCTCAATAAATAGCAGTGTTATATGTAACTACTAATACTTCAGATTTAATTTATTATCTCTATACAGATATTTGGGAGCCCTGGTAGTGTGTCGTTCTAATCCACCAGCTACTCCAAGGGAAAAGATGGGCAACTTCAGAAATTTAATGAAAGGTTGCTTTGAGTGTCAATAAACTCGGTATTAATTGTATTTTCCTTTGTTGTTTGTTGTTATGTGCCATCCAGTTGCTTGCAACTCATGGCAACCCTATGTACAAGTGCCCTAAATGCCGTTCTATCCTGTGCCAACCTCACCATCTCAAACACAATCATCCCCACCACTCCACTCACAGAATCAATCCGTCTCATTGAGGGTCTTCCTCTCCTGCGCCATACCTCCACTCTCCCAAACATGATGGCCCTTTCTAAGGACCAGAACCTCCTTGCAACATGCCCAAAGTATGTCAGATGAAGCTTCAGAATCCTTGACTTCAAGGAACATTCCGGCTTCACCTTCTCCAAGACAGACCTGTTTGTTCTCCTAGCAGTCCATGGTATATTCAACACACTTCTCCAGCACCACAGCTCAAAGGCATCAATTCTCTTTCTATCATCCCTATTCACTGCCCAACTCTCCAATGCATAGCACATAATTTCAAAGACCATAGCCTGGATTAGGCGCACCTTAGTCTCCAGCCTGACATTGTTTGCTCTTCAGTACTCTTGAGAGGTCCCTCACAGCTGACTTTCCCAATGCAATTCATCTCCTGATTTCCTGGCTGCTGTTACCAAGAGTGTTAACTGTGGAATCAAGTAAACTAAAACTGTTAACTATCTCAATCTCTTCACCATCCATCCTGATGATGCCAATTGGCCCAGTGGTGAGAATCTTTGTTTTCTTGATGTTGAGCTTCAATCCATATAGGAGGCTGCGGTCTTTGACCTTCTGCAGCAAGCACTTCAGTCCCTCCTCAGTTTCAGCAAGCAGGGTTGTGTCATCTCCATAACGCAGGTTGTTGATGATTCTTCCACCAATCCTGTTGCCACATTCCTCTTCATGCAGCCCAGCGTCTTGGATGATCTGTTCTGCGTACAGATTGAAAAGGTATGGAGACAAAGTACATCCCTGATAGACCCCCTTCCTGATTTTGAACCATCCATTGTCTCCCTGCTCTGTTCTGACAACTGCCTCTTGGTCCAAGTATAGGTTTCACATTAGCACAATCAAATATTGTAGGATTCCCATTCTTCTCAGAGTCAGCCATAATTTGTTGTGATCCACACAGTCAAAAGCCTTTGCATGGTCAGTGAAGCACAGATAGACATTCTTCTGGTATTCTCTGCTTTCTGCCAAGATCCATCTAACATTACCTTTAATATCCCTACTACCACAACCTCTTCTAAATCCAGCCTGCACATCTAGCAGTTCTCTGTTGATGTATTGTTCCAAATGTTTTTGGATAATTTTCAGCAGAATCTTCCTTGCATGTGATATCAATGATATTGTTCGATAATTTCCACACTCTGTTGGGTCACCTTTCTTTGGAATAGGAACAAATATTGATCTCTTCCAGTCAGTTGCCAGCGGCTGTCCTCCAGATTTCCTGGCACAACTTAGTGAGCACAACTTGGGCAGTGTCTGTTTGTTGAAAAAAATCAATTGGTATGCCATCAACTCCTAGAGCCTTGTTTTTTGCCAGTTCCTTCAGAGCAACTTGAACTTCCTCCTTCATCACCATAGGCTCTTGCTCATATGTTATTTCATGAAATTCCTCTGTGTCAGTCAATTCCTTCTGATACAGTGACTCTGTGTGCTCTTTGCACTTCTTTTCATACTTCATGAATTATTTAACATTCTACCAAAACTATCCTTAAGTATTGCCACCCGTGGCTTGAATTTGTTTTCAACTCCTTCATCCTAAGAAATGCTGAACGAGTTCCTCCAGTTTGATTTTCTGACTCCAGCTCTCTGTACATTTTATCTTGCTTTGCCATCCCGAGCTGCCTTTTGAAATTTTCTGTTCAGCTCTTTGATTTTTTAATTTCTTCCTTTAGCTTTGGATTCTCGGCACTTTAATGCAATACTCAGAGTCTCATCTGACATCCATCTAGGTCTTTTCTTCTTCAGCCTTTGTAATGATCTTTTGCATTCTTCATGGGCAATTTTCTTGATATCCTCCCAGAGCTCATTGGGTCTATGCTCATTGGTGCACAAGGCCTCAAACCTGTTCCTGAGATGGTTTTGAAATTTGAGTGGGACAGACTTAAGGTCAAATCTTGGTTCCTGTGGACTTGATTTAATTTTCCTCAACTTCAGCTTGAACTTGCATATGAGTAGTTGGTGGTCTTACCCACAATCAGCACCTGGCCTGGTTTTTAGTGCTGATATTGAGCTTCTCCAGAGAGTCTTTCCACAAATGTAATCTATTTGATTCCTATGTATACTATCAGGTGAGATCCATGTGGATAGCCTGCGTTTATGTTTCTTATAAAAGGTATTTGCAATGAATAAATCATTGAATGTGCAGAACTCTATCATTCTATCTCCAGCCTCATTTCTCTCACCAAGCGGGTGTTTTCCAGCTACTGATCCTTCTTCCCTGTTCCCAACTTTTTTGTTCCAGTCTCACATTATTATAAATGCATCTTGATTGCATGTTTGATCAATCACTTCTGACTGCAGAATTTGGTAGAAATCTTCTATTTCCTCCTCTTTGGCTCTCGTTGTTGGTGCATATATTTGAATAATAGTGGTATTCACTGGACTTCCTTGTATGTGTGTGGGTATTATCCTGTCACTCACCACATTGTATTTCAGGATAGATCTAGAAACAACTTTTTAAATTATGAAACCAACCCCATTTTTTTATCACCTTTTCATCCCTGGCATAGTAAATCATTCCACGTTGCAATCACTAGTGTCTCCTTACAGCTGTTCTTCTTTCTCTGTGTTTCCATTTCTAAGATTTCAGTTTCAATTGCCATGTCTGTTAGTCCAAATGATATTCTAAGTGTGCTCTATTGTACATAGGGTTTTTTTAAGGTCTGTCATTTCGGAAGTGGATGGCCAATCCTTATTCCTAGTCTGTCTCAATTTTTAAATATATATAATAGTATCTTGATGAATAAAGAAGAAATATTTTTTAAAGGCAACAATTTCAATCATCTTGCTGCATCTGATAGCGGTTCTGATGGGCATGTGACAGCGGTTTTTGTATCCTGTCTGATGTTTATTGCTACTCTTTCTCCCTCAAAAGCCGGTGTCCTTGAACATTTGCCTAGGGTGAAAGTCTGCTCAAAGGTGTTGGCTTTAAAACCCCGTGGGGGTGGGTATGGGACTGCTGGCTGGGGCCTGGACCTTCCACTATGGGACTTTGGCTGTTTTGCCACATCTGATGACAGTCCTGATGGGCACATGACCTAGAGTTTTGGGGTCATGTCTCATGTGTACTGCTGCTCTTTTCCCTTTAAGAGCAGGTGTCCTTGAGCCTTTAAGTTGACTTGATTCATGCACTACCATCAAATCCTAGTAGGAGGAAGCTGTCTTCAAATTCTAATTCAAATAATTAATTCAACTTATCAGAAGAATAAGATGAATATTCAGGTAATGTTAGGAGATGAAGAATTCATCAAACCTCATCTACTAACTCGCACATTCACCATAGAATCAATAACCTATCTGGAGCACAGAGATTTTTCCCACCTGTGTCTGGTGTTTCCAAGCAGGGACTAAATTGAGCACACTATTCCAATCACTTTTATAATTCACATTTTTTTGTGTGTATATAACTGTTTATGGAAGGTTTTCACAGTTTGGATCAGGGTTTTTGAAGATTACTATTTTCTTTCATAGATAAGAAGACTTTAAAATCAGAGTAAGATATCTATGATGAAATTTCCTTGTCCACTCCTAGCCTTAGACTAAGGGTAAGGGTGGAGGCTTGCTAGAGGAGGATGTGACTTTAAGATCCAGGATGAGACAATGGGTCTGTGGGCTGGCCTTGGCCTGGGGCTGTGGAGTCCCCTCTACTCTGGAAATTGGCTGGCTGGTGTCTGGATGGTGGTCTCATCTTGGTGGCAATCAGGCAAGGGAAGTTTCTGGGGTCTTTTTTGTTGTGTGTTACTATTATTTTTTCCTCTTCAAAAGTGGGTGGCCTTGAGCCTTAGACTAAGGGTAAGAGTAGAAGCCTGCTTGAGGGTGTGACTTTAAAATATCATTATTATTATTAATTTTAGAAGGATATTCTTTTAAAGACACAGCAATCACTTGTCTATTTGCTATACTGAACAATTTGGAATTGCTGTGATGCTGAGCACTATTTGATAGTCATGTCAAATTCCATGATGGTTACATATTATGTACAGTGATTGGATGAGCTTTCAGATTGATTCATGTTGGGACGTAGCGGGTGGCATCCACTTCCTAAACTAGATGTCTCTGGAAACTTTACAAACTCTCTTATAAATGTACAGAAAATGATGTTAATTATACAACAGAGTTCAGGTCTTTTGTGCAAAACTTACTCTGAGTCATATTGACTCAATAACACTTAACCACTGCTAAAAGAGACTAGTGCTGTTATATCTGGAGGAACATTCTTCCACTTTGCACATCATTCTTTGTGCTGTATGAGGTAACCTGGGTTTTCTATGATGCTCAACCTTGTGCCATGGAGATATAAAAAACCATAATGGTTTACCATTGTGGGCAGTGTCTGGTGGAGCTCCCAGTTGTAAAACAAGTTTGGAAGCAGGAGTGGCATCCACTTCCTAAACCACATGCCTCTGGAAACTCCATGAACTTGGAGAAACAACAATAGCTATGGAAAGACATTATGTCTTTTTTTCTTAGAGCTGCTATGAGTTAAGCTCAACTTGATGGCAATCAACAACAAACAACAATATATATAAAATAAAAATCTTATTAGAGGCCCAGTGACATTAGTTAAACAGCTACAATAGTCTGACCACACAAAAGTAGCATAATGATTTCTTCTCTAATTAAGGACTTATATGAGACTCCCTATGAGATCAGGAGGCTTTAATCACAGCATATATAGGTTCTATAATAATTTTTTTCTTTAAAAGTATAGATATTTCAGTTATAAAAATGAATAGTAAAACTTATTTACTTCAAAGGAGTTGCTATAATTTCTATTTTAGAGGATTTTTTCTGTGCCTTCTATTTTACTAAAATTAATTGAGTTTCATTAAAAGTGTTTAATTAAATTAGTAAGAATATACATTAAAAGAGAATGTATGTAACAGAGAATGAATTTTTTACGTGAAATTTCTGAAATAATATGCAGCATATAAAATAGTGAACATGGTGAAATTAATTCTAAAATGTATTAAAGGAATTCTCTCATTTTAGATAAACTTTATTTTAGAACAATGATACAAAGTATATGTTTGGGGGGAATAACTAATAATATTTAGATGAATGACAAAAATATTTAAAGATATTTAACCAGAAATATTATGAGTATAAAAATGGTCTCAGTTCCTTTTCTGGCATTTATATGATTATCAATTTTTTTGGTATATGAGAATACAAAGGGTTATGTTTTTATTCTTGATTACCAATTAGAAGGTGTTTGCACTCAAAGAATATGATTTCATTCTTGGTTAAAACCATTTACTAGACTAAAATCTTTAATTCTTGATTTTATTCTGTATTTTTATTCTTGAAAAGTGTTATCAGTGGAAGAATTTTCTCCATTCGAGTTTACTATTTTTATTCTTTAATACATAGGCAATATGAAAGTGAAAGTGAACTCAAAGAGGAGCCTGGACAAGAGGAAACATATGATTCCAAAGTGAGTGCCAAATAATTTAAGGGAGAAGTAGGAGTGAGTGAGCAAGAAAAAGTATATATTAATTGTCATATAACTATAGATTATAACAAATAAATTGCAGAGTATGTCATGGACATTGTAAAACTATAAAAATTTCATTTTATACTATAATATCCAGCATATAAAATAATTCACTATTTTATACTATAAATATTATGGACATATCTGTTTAATTTTTTATAATAAAGCTTAGATATAAAGATTTTGTATTAAAAATGAATGTTACAAAAATATATCACATAGTAGTTTCCCTCTTAATAATTTTCTGACATTTATGCTATTTGTTCATTTAACTATAAATTCGTTTCATTTACCATGTAGATCTTTCCCCTATTATTTGTTCCTTGTTAGTCCCCGGGGAGCTCTGGTGGTGTAATCCATAAGAAGTTGCCAACTTGATAGCAACCAGAGTATATTTTAAAAACCAGTAATAATTATATTTAAAAGGTATATCATAAAATTCTCAGTCTACAGTAAATAATTATTTCTAATTGGACAAAAACTTATTAAAGATATCTTTAATCTTACATAAAATATTCTTTTCATGAGGTCAGCAGAAATTGGCATATAAAAGTATGGCATGAATTATCAAGAAACAAAAATTAAAGTCAAATACTAAGAAAATGTTATTGTTGTTGTTGTTGTTAAGTGCCATTGCGTCAAGTACAACTTGAAATGACTCTATGAACAATAGACCTTAACTTCAAATTTTGTCCTATCCTGTGCCATCTCTGACACATGTGAGCTCATTGGGGAAGCCACTGTGTCAACAATCAATTTCCTCTCTTTCATTGACCCTCCACACCTTTCCAAGCATGATGTCCTTTTTTAAGGAATAACCTTCACCTAGCAACTCATATAAAGTATGTGCAGTGAAGCTTTGCCATCTTTTCCTCCTAGAAGCACATGCTTGCTTGTTTGTTCTTTTGGCAGTCCATGTTCTTATGGCACTTTTTTCAAGACATACCTGTTTGTTCTTTTAGGGAATCCATCCTCCGGCACCACAGCTCAAAGACATTAATTATTCTTCTACCATCCTTATTCATTGTCTGGATCTCAGAAGCATAGCAAGTCATGACAAAAGACCATGGCCTGTTCTTGGAACTTTAGTCTTGAAACTGACATCATTGCTCCTCAGTACTTTAGAGAGATACCTGATAGCAGACTTTCCCAATGTAATATTGTAAAAAAGAATAATGGCCAAAAGGGGACAACCATATCTGACCTTTACCAACTTCACAAAAGGGAACTGTCCCTGTCAATACCAGGAACAACACAATACCAATTCCCTTGAAGTCAGACATGTTGCCCATACTCCTGTACCTTTCTCTATTCATGTCAGTACCACTCCTGCTTTACTGGTTCTGAAATCTGTTATGATAACTCACAGATCTTATAGAACCATTTTGGGGAAGTTAAAAGTTTATGTTGTTGTTGTTGTTGTTGTTATGTGCAATTAAGTTGCCTGTGACTCATAGCAACCCTATGTATAACAGTTCTGAATCCTGCCCTATCCTGAAACAGTCTCACTGATTCCAACACACCTAATCTCATCACCCCAGTTATATCAATCCATCTTATCCAGGGTCGTCCTTTCCTGCACTGTCCTGCCACCCTTCCAAGCTTGATGTCCTTCTGTAAGGACTGGTTCCTTCAGGCCACATGCACAAAGTGAGATGGAACTTCAAAACCATAGCTTCCAAAGATAAACTTGGTTTCACCCTAAGACAGACCTGTTTGTTCTCCTGGCTGTCCATGGTATGTTCAAGACTTTTCTCCAGCACCATAGCCCAAAGGCATCAATTCTGTCATTCTTAGTCATTGGCCAGCTTTCTGATGCATATCATGTAATTGCGAAGACCATGGCCTAAATCATCAGGCACATGTTAGTCTCTACACAGGCGTCATTGCTCCTCAGAACTTGGGAGAGATCCCTGACAGCAGACTTCCCCAAGCAATTTGTCTTTTAACTTCTTGACTGCTGGTGCCAAAAGTGTTGACTGTGGAGCTGAGCAAGCTGAAATTGTTAACAACCTCAATATCTTCTCCATTAATCATGATGCCAATTGTCCCAGTGGTGAGAATTTGTTTTCTTGATGTTTAACTTAAATCCATATTGAAGTTCTTGAGCATCTGCAGCAAGTGCTCCATGTCCTCCTCAATTTGAGCAAGCAAGATTGTATCATCTACATAACATAGGTTGTTGAGTAGTATTTCTTCTATCCTAATGCCACACTGCTCTTCATAAAGTCTAGCTTCTTGAGGTTGATAGCAGAATACAGACAGGACAGCTTCTGAAATGAACTTGCGGGCACTTCAGCTTTAAGCTTCATGGCTTTAGACCAGTGTTACAAAATTTGCAGTCCTGCTAATATTGACTCCCCCACCCCACCTGTCAGTTGTCCAACCAACTTGGGCAAAGGCTCTTAGCTTACCTGTCATTCTGTCCATGGGGGTGGGGGTGGGTAGCAGTCCTGAAATAGCTTCATCTCATGTTGTTCTTTGGTTTGGCCATGGCTGCTGCCACTGTAGATTTGACTGGAGAAAGAATTTCTAGGCTTGAAGGAGGTACTACATTATTTTCCTTCTCCTTAGCTGGTAGGGAAGATCTAATATGCTGCTGGAGCTAGCTGCTCAACTTATTGGCAATATTAGCTAATCCCCTTGTAGATTGGTGAGCTTGCCAATTGCCTTGAGGCTAGGCTAACATGCCCTAATAACGTATTCCTGCTCATCACATGGTGACGTCAGAAGCAATGGCTAGGAAAGTCATATTGAAAAATAAGTTCTGATCTCCTGTATGCTGGTACCAAAAATGTTGATTATGGATACAAGTAAAATGAAATCATTGATAATTTTAATCTTTTCTCCATCTATGCTTGGAAGGATGCAGGAATAGCACAGGAGAGGAAGACCTCAGATGAGATGGACTGATATAGTAACTAGGCCAATGAGTATGGGTGTACCAGAATCAGTGATATTGGCTTAGGATACGGTAGACTTCAGAGCTGCTGTACATAGGGCCACTGTGAGTTTCAAGTAACTGGATGGCCCATAATAACAACACAACAATCATAATGTTGCTGGTGGGTTCAATGGCAAAGATTTTTGTCTTCTTGATGTTAAGATATTACTCAAGACTTTATGGTGTCCTTTCTGCATGTACATCTTCATAGTTTTATTGAGAAAATTTTCATTATATAAGAAGTTAAATATGCCTAGTGGCAAGAAGCTGCACTGCAATCCCAGAGGTATGTGGTTTGAATCCACCAGATGCTCTTCTGGAAAAGGAGGGGCAACTCTTCCTGTACCAATCAGATCTGATTTGATGGTACACACAGGCAAAAGGGTGCAGGGGATTGTGTACCAGAGAGGGAGTCTTTCTTTTGCTTCTGAAAGAGAGGAGCAAACTGGGGGGCGGGGGGTGAGGGCTGGGCAGGTAGAGAAGTGCAGCAATGAATGAATGGAAATCCAAATTCTCTGTAAATGTTCATTGAAATTGTTGTTGTTGTTATTATGTGCCGTCGAGTCGTTTGCGACGCATAGCAACCCTATGTACAACAGCCCTAAACCGTGCTCTATCCTGTGCCAATCTCATTGTCTCTGACACACCCATCCCAATTACCCCAGTCACTGAATAAATCCACCTCATAGAGGGTCTTCC